GAAATGGGGATAAGAGCCTTTATACCTAAAAGTTTTATGGAAACTTACGGTGTAATTAGGCAAGTTCCGCTTGACTTCCTCGAAGACGAAATTTTTGCAAACATTCTATCCGACGTTGAAGTTAAGTCGGTATCGCGGATAACCAGAAGAGATCCAAATAATATCGGTAATTTCATACCCACCATGTCAATAAAGGTAGGATTTGCAGGGGATGTGTTACCCGACAACGTTAGGATTTTCTGCGTGAACTTTAAAATTAACCACTACTTCTCCAGAACTAAGCAGTGCTACAACTGCGGTAGGTTGGGGCATACTAAGTTGTCTTGTCGTGCTAGAAATCGATGCATTATTTGCGGGAAAGATGAAAGGTGCCCAGTCAAGTGCACAAGCCCTAACCCAAAGTGCAGTTTATGTGGCAGTGATAATCATATTTCAATTAACAAAGCTAAATGCCTCAGCTGGGAAAAAGAGCGGCAGACTATTGAGATAATGACCGTCAAGAAAATTTCGAAGCGTGAAGTTTTGAACATGTACGGTGACAGAAGCGGCACAAATGGATTTTCGTTGCTTGAGAGCTATGATGAAGTTTTCCCTAGTCTTCAGGAAGCTAAAGTTCAAGACAATGAAGTAATAACTAATAGAATACTTACGAGAAGCAAGTACAACCATGTAGCTAGTCGAGGTAGAAGTCGGGAAAGAAATGCTAGGCTAATTAGAGAACAAGAAGTCAGGGTAAAGGAAGCAGAGGTACCTGTTTTTGAAAGTGTTAGATGGGAAAGAGTTACAGAGATAGAAAGACTTATTAGTCAACTGATGCAAAAGTTTAACATCAACGCTGATGAACCCATTGTTAAAGTCCTTTGCAACCTTGTTAAAACCAAGGCTGACGATAGACTTTGTGTAAATACTGTATTAAATGACCATCAAAGTATTGCAACCTAATTGTCAGAGTTTGAAATCGAATCGTGACTATATAGATTTTTTCATTAATCACAATAATGTAGATATTGTAGCACTCCAGGAGGTTTTCTCGCATGGAGACATTAACTCAGGGCATAAACTAATAAATTTTAAATTAATTGTGAAACATAGAGCCGATGGCTATGGTAGTGTGGCCATAGGATATAGAAAAAGCCTAAAAATGCAAAGGATCAGGTATAATACAGTTCACGATATTGTGGTTGCTAAAACTATGAATTTACAGCAAAACTTGATTTTTGTATCGGCATACTTTCCCCCCAATGTGAATAGGTATGTGTTCGATTATGAAATGAGTAGGCTTGTAACCTTTCTGGATTGCAGGGAGGATGTGTTTATTTTAGGTGATTTTAACTCGAAAAGGCTGGCCTGGGGTTGCCGTAAGGACACTCCCAAGGGTAAAGTCTTGTTTAACATTGTAAGCAAAGCAGGGTTCAAATGTTTAAACGGTGGAAGTCCAACATTTTTCGTGAATAGTAATGCGAGTGGTGCTCGTTCATCTCCGGACTTACCCTTACCAACTCGGTCCTCAAAACGGAATGGCTATGTAATCAGGGGTACGTAGGGGGAAGTAATCATAGACCAGTTGTCATCAACATTAACGACGTCGATAAAAGACCAAATCTTTTTGTTCAAAAAAGAAAATTAGAGACAGCACTTACATCATGTCAAGTAAATGGAGGGTTGCCGGAACTGCAAAGAGAAATTCAACGTGAAATCAAAAATGCGACCATTGACTTGAATACGTGTAGATTTTCCCCAAAAATGTGGTGGAATGAGGATTTAAAGAAACAGTATAGACTTCTTTGTGTTAGTAGGAAGAAAGCTAGAGCATCAAGTAGGGTCAGTGATTTTGAAGAGTTATGGGCGAGAGAGGAGGTATGGAAGAGATCAGTAAAAGAAGCAAAAAGTAACAGTTATAAGAATAAAATCGTTGAACTTAACGAGTCTCCTAACACCACTGATGCATGGCGGTTCATCAATAGGGTTAAGGGAAGCAGGAGAGAAAACACCAACTGGAACAGCCAAAATATTGAAAAATTTCTTGCACTTATGAAGGATCAAACTGACAAGCTAATATCTAACGACATGACAGGCGAGGCAAGGCGAGGTCTATACCGGTAATGTTGATACGAACTACTTCAAGTTCTCGGTTGCGGACTTAA